TTTTTGTGCACGTTGTGTTTGTGTGCTCTGGTATTTCCGTTACATCTGTTAAGTGTCACTATCTTTCTTATCTATTTGTTTTTCCCTCCCGCAATAACCGACACGGACACGGTTGCGGTCAAGAGAGACTAACAAAATAGCAGGACAGAAAGTAGGACCATCCCCTGTCGCCCCCAGGGGTGCTCACCGAACCTTTTGTTTCTGGCGTAGTCGTCTAGAGTGGTGATCTTGTTTGTTTGTTTTTGTAAAGTGTTTTACGGCGCTCGCAACTGCATTAGGACGTGAGCGCGCGGGACACACCTAATATTTTCATAGGAAATTTTGAATTTTGCACGGGTGCGGCCGAAGCCTACTCTTATCGATTTTAGACCACCAAGGGGTCTTTAACGTGCGCAGCTTGCACACGGACCCTCCGAGATTTTTTGCCCTTGTCCGAGAAGGCTAGGTGTAGATCTTTCCTACCAGAAGATCAAGGGTGTGACTGAAAGACAGCAGTAAGAAGAAGCGAAGGAGTAGCAGTAGAAAGGCTGCAGAAAGAATCAGGAGCCCAGAGGAAGTGGCAAAGAAGGTGGGTGGGTGGGGGCAGAAAGAAGAGACGAAAGCAGACGACAGAACATTGTTAGAGAGCAGGAAATGAGGTGAAAGGAGACAAATTTAGAGAAGAAAATTTAATCGGTCGCTACCCGGATTCGAACCCGGGACCTTTTGAATGAGAGGCCAACACCTTTACCTCTAGGCCACGAGAGCCTCCAGTGGTGATCTGTCGTCTGACTTGATTTTTTTTCTAGGCTACTCCTTTTTCGTCTTTGCGATGGAAGTTCTTTTTTTTTTTTTTAATAATAATTTCTGGCGAAATTTTTTCTGTGTGCAGTGCTGAGTCGCAGTACCCGGTAGAGCGGATTGCTCAGTCACATCTGTCACTTGGCGGGGTTGATAGGGCGTTCTGGTGTGGCCTGTCTCTTTACTTATTTTAGCGAGTGGTTGGAGCGCGTCGCTGGTATACCCTACTTCTTTTTTTCCCCCGTTTCTTCTTCCCTGTTCTAGATGACCGTTATTGTGTCGATGCGATGTACTTCTGTTTACTCAAACAGAAACTGTGGGTGGTTGGTGGGTGCTCTGGTGTGGTTTACTTCTTCTTTCCTATCAAACACCTATCGTCCTTATCTCCCCTCCTTCTTTTTTGTGTTTGTTTCTCTCTTGTAACACCTCTAATCTTCTGGCGCTCATTTGACCTTATGCAGTTGCGAGCGCCGTAAAAACCTCTAGTAAAACAAAACAAAACAAAAAACAACAACCAGAAACTGAAACGTGTCTCTTTGGTCTTGCGGGTGATTGGGGAGTGTCACTGGTAGTTCCTACTTCTTTTTTTCTTTCCATCTTTTATGTCTATCTCTCTTTCTCCTTTCCTGCAGTATTTATCCGTTATTGTGTCAATGTGATTCTCTTTACTCAAATTTGAAAACAACGAACAAACAAACAAGCAAAACCCCCACAAAAAACAAACAAACAAAAACAAACAACAACAACCCCCCCCC